CTGGTAGCGACTGTTGCTGATTTTAATGATATCAAACAGCGGCGCAAGTTTGGCAATGTACGGGCGGCTTGATGCACCACTGGGATCTCCGACCACATCGCGCTGGTAGTAGAAAGCTTCCTGAACAGCACGCATGTATTCTCTTTCGAACATCGACTCGTACTGCTGGTGAAGCATCTTGTGAGTATCGAACGCAACCTTCGCAATCGCTGGAACAGTTGATGTCTCCAACGAGACAAGGACGCCAGCACATTCCTTAGGGTGAACCAATCCTTGACGGTTGATACTAGCAATCAGCTCAATGGCAGTCAGAGCGTACGAGTCTTGCCGCGATTGTGCAACTCGAAGCATGCTCCGCAAAAAGTGCTGGGCAATCAAAGCAGCGGCACCATCGTTGTCGCTGGCTTTCAAAGAACCTCCTAGTCGCGTGGCGCTCTCCTGCTCGGCGATTTCAGCAGCAGGTAGCACAGTCTTCTCGGCCTTGCCTTCGTGCATTGCGAAGAATTCCGAGAATGACCTCAGCACAATGTTCTGCAGACTCGGATTATCTTCCTTGAAGACCATGGACAGAATCTGCCTTGGGTTATCACGACTGAATTGGCCTGGCCAGGACTGGCAAATCGATCCCAGACTCTCCAGTGACATGATTCTCAGTTCAAGCGGTTGTTTCTGAACGGTGAAGGGTATAATGGCATCCACCATTAGACCAGCCACTGAGCCCCCGCCCCACGACGGGAATGCATTCTTGAAATGCGGCTCGTACTTTTCAAGATCGCAGTGTCTGCCAACACAGCCTGCAATGCGAATGTAGCTTTTGGCTCTGGCTAAGACTGCCGCGTTCGCACTATCCGAAAGATCTATGTTTTTGTAGTGCTGTATAGGTTTCAGCACGGAAATGGTTAGCTTTACCAGCCGGTCAGTATTGTGTAGAACTCCGTTGATAGTCCAGAGGCACGCCATCACTTCGTTCAGCTCTGAGCGAGCAAGCTTTGCAACGCTCTTAAAAAGATCGTTCTGCACCTCCCTCAGCAGGGTATTGTGGGCGGACGACAAATATGGCAATACGCATCGGTAGATGACTACCACCGAGCGAAAAAGGAAAAGATCCTCCGCCGTGGCCAGGTGTCCAATGTAAGGATGCAAAGTCTCCAGTTGGTCAGGGCGGAACAACTTTGCGTTGGCCTTTGCAAAAACGGTGATTGTTTGCAAAAGCGCTTGCTGGAATTCCTTCGTCGAATCGGTACCTTCGACCAGCTTCTCAAACATTGTAGAGACCATTGCTTTGCATACTTTGAAGTTCAAAGACGCTGTCTTGGAGGTTTCGGATAGAACCTTCTTAAGACAGTTGTTCAAGGTGTCGAGCGCTGTTTCACTTCGCTGAACCAGGCTGACTATGAGTGTTACCCTCTCATCAAGTCCGACCTTGAGTTTCGGGCCATCCTGAGGAGAGTCGATGAGTCCGTGGAAGGGAGTCAGCCAGATCTCCTCGAATGTTTGTCGCGCCAAAGTCGCCACGCTATCTTCCAGGTCGCTTGTACGTTGCAGAAAGCTATCCATGATCGCAAGCTTCAGCTCAGTACGCGACGTATTGAGGTAGATATCCTTCAGAAGTCCGATGCAGCGCTTCCGTACACCGGCAGTCGGATCAGCGGCGCAGGTCAAGATAGCCCGACAGCCGTCCTCTTCCAACTTCGGCTTCAATGCAATGCATTTTGCGATCAAGGACAGCGCGGAATCGCGGACCATTGGAGATGCGTCAGTGGCGCAGCGGAGAATTACCCGCATGACCGAAGCATCTCTATCGAGAAGACTTGGATCCTTCTCGAGCATGTAGATTACACTCTTCAAGCTACGGCTCCGAACTTTGGCCTGGTCACTCGCAATCGAGTTTAGCAAAACTTTGAGAATTGTGTCGAAAGCTTTGCAGAACCCTGAGTTCAAGACAGTCAGGATGTATGCAAACTTGCCATGCGCCGTAGGAACGGTGTTGAATTGTCTACAAAACGAATCAGTAAGGTGCCGTGAGCCTTAACAGAACGTACTCACCTGTGCGTCTCAAGCCATAATGGGTCGGAGAAAAGATTGGAAAAGAGTGAAACTAGGTCTTCAGTCGCGTCGTCGTACATGACTTCGTCCTTGTCTTCAGAGTTGTAGTAAACAGAACAGAAGGTTTTGGACCACTGGGTAAGATAGAAACCGCGAGCACTAGCAAGCTGCCAGTTGTCTACACTGCGGTCTTGAATGAAATACTCAAGCGTCATCCGATAAGGGCCTTCGGCGACAACGAGGTCTTGTGGATGCAAAGCGCGGCTCGAATACTCTTCGAACAGCTGTTTGAGGGATTCGCTGAGATCGCTATCAGACTCCTCCATGGCAGGCAGCAGATGCTGAGCAGTCACTATAAGATCAGAGATGGCAGATCCCATCCACCCTAGAAGCTCAAGAGCCATGCTTTTCGCCGTTGCAGAACTTTTGTCCTGTTCGGCGATACCAACCATATGAGAGGCCATAATACGAAGAAGCAATTCCGCAGCCGGCCAATCTGTGGAACCTAGGACGCTGATTAAGTCTTCGGTGAAAAGGTCGAAAATGTTTCGATAAGGCTGATCGCCGGTCTTGGTAGATGTCATCGCTCGTTGAACGATGAATTTAACAATGTACTGGGCACTGCGTACTGCGTTATCGTGTAGACGGTTGACCTTCGTCGCAAGCTGCTCCATGGACATGTTCGACTGATCATCATCTACTCCCTGGCTATCGCCAAGCGCTTCATCATCGTCCTCATCTTCGGCCGATCCAGGTGGCTTGCGCCTCATTCGAGACGCCCTTGAGTTGGGAACGTCCAGAGCAGTCGTCTGCACCAGTTGCATGACCAATGCAGTCAGAAGTTGGATATTCTTGCCATCGGCAAGTTTAAACTGCCTGGCACTCTGCCGGGTAGATGGAAGCTTTTCGAGTGATACAAGAATTTCGTCCAGGATGTATGGGCGCTGGGCGGGATACTTGGAGAAAATCTTGGCCAGTACATCCATGGCTCCACGTCGAACCGACTCGTATTTTTGGACACCGACAGTAGAGTCCTTCTCCGTGTGAGAGTTCTCGACGAATATTAACTTAGCTGCGAAAAACTCTGCGGCGGTGACTGTTCCTTCTGAGACGTCAATCCGCGAGAGGAAATCTGCGAAGAGAGCAAGTACTTTTTTGCTTTGCTGGATTAATGAACCAAGAACCCGTTTTTGAGCAGAGAAGAACTCAAAATAGTTCGCATCCTTGCCTCCAGGACGTGCCTGGACAGCCGGGATGATACAGTGATCAAAGACTTGGTTAAAAACATTCGGTATGGCTTCAATCAAATCCTCTGGACAAAGATCTCGTTCCGTCTGGGTCCCAGACATTGTTTGTAGAAGACTCCCAATAGCAAGAAGAGCATTTTGCATGTCATCCAATTTTCTTAACCAGTCCTGTGTTTCAGACTCATTCGAGGGATCATCTATTCTCAGATCCGGCGATTGGGCAGCAATGATTGGCTTTTCACAAAGCTTCTGGATCCTATTGAGATAGTCCGATGGGATATCCTGGAGTCGATTGTACCCAACCACTTTCTTGATTGCCTTCTGTAGTCGCGTATGGGCATCGGACGAAAGGATAGGTCCGTTCACCTCGAGTGCATGAGGTGTAGTAAAAACCACGTTTGTCTGTTCAGCAGCCGCACCGGAGGATGTACTGGGGTCGAGCTGATCCTCGGACTCGAAGATCTCATGAAGCATGTCCTGCAACTTGACTAGGGCAGCGTCTGCCTCCTCCTTTTGGTCTTTCAGTCGGATGGCCGTAAGGTTCTCGCCCCCATCAGCATTGAGCTTTCTCTTCTTCGACATGCCGTGTTCGTCTATATGATGTGGCAGTGGTTTGACGGGGATCACCACCGACAGTTGACTTGCCTGTTGACTCGGTCGGGATGAGGGTGTGGGTGCAGGTCTATGTGCGACGGAAGGTTGCTTTTCGTTACAGGAAGTAGACTTGTGCGGCGCTTCCATATCATCAGGCGTAGGATCTGTACATTGTCAGTTCACTTCTGAAGCCCATGTGAAACGATAAAGCCCTACATCGAAAAGCAATATCCGTAGCATCCAACATCATCTTCGCAAATGAGCCAAGCTTGTTGCTGCTGGCGACATGGTCGTTGGCCGCTGTCGACGGTGATTGCTGAGCGCTAATCGAGCTTGTCGGCAGCTTGAACTTGCTACCGGAATAGGTGAGCAGATGATATAAGAATGAAGCATTAATGAGGCTCACAATTCGGTCAACTGATCACCATCCAACAACTGCTGCAAGTATTCCCGAGATGTCTCCAAGCGATTCGACTCATCTCGTCCCGATTGGATTTCGCCATTGAGCTGACTTAAGGCTGTACGGCCGGACTGGAGGATGTGATTAATGGAGGTCGTATTGGGGGGTCGACCGACGTCCGGGCGTAGGATGCAATCTTAAGGAGACAAGTCAATCAGTTAGTTAAAGTTCACTTTGTTCACAGAAAGGGTTTATCTCAGTCTGACCTAAACCGAAGATCGGCGAGCTGGACATGGGAGAGTACTGCAACGCCTCCTCAACAGCCAACGGCCTTTGCCAGCGGCGAGCCTGCCCACTGGGAGCATGAGCTTGCGCTTGAGGATGGCCGTTGATGACGACCTGAACGGCCGGGTGCCAGTTTTGAGCCATGGCGGCGGATATCCCTACTGGGAAGCTAAAGATGGGTTGAAAGAAGATCTATGACGGTAGCTTGGACATGCCCTCCTCAGAGACATGGCTATGGGAGCAAGGAGAATGAGAGACCACCCCCGATAAACGCCTGATCATCCAAAGATCTCCATGGCAAACCAATGCAATAATTAATGCCAGGCACGGTTCTCTTGCCGCTGCCGCGCCTCACCGCCCGGCACTAATGGCGCGCTGGACCTTCGAAAATTGGCCCGTGCTGGAGCCTTTCTTTCCGCCGCCATCCAAAGAAATTCAAGGCGGGAAAGAAAAAAAAATAGTGAAGGGTCATTTATTCATTTCCAATTGTCCGGTTGATCTGGTACTTTTTTGTCGCAAACCCATATCTTTCAATATGTCTGCGATTGGAACTCTCGTCTTCTGCACTGACTGCGGCTCTCTATTGGAGGGTTCAATTGGTGATCCGACTAAGATTCTTGTCTGCGATGTCTGCGGAGCTAGGAATAAAGGTAGGTTTGCCTTGTTGGTATCCTAAGTTGCAAAAGTCGCATTCACTGACCTTGTCCCTTTTTACCTCGTTATTCAGACACCGTTCCCCAGACCATTGTCTCCGAGTCCAAGCCAAGCGCATTCCCGTCTGCCTTGAGAGCGAAAAGATCTGCGGTCCAGACCTTGACGGCGTCAGACAGAAGAACCGAAGCCCTTACTCAACATACTTGCATCAAGTGTGGACGGAAAGAGATGTACTACACCACCGTACAACTGCGCAGTGCAGATGAAGGTAGTACGGTGTTTTACACATGTGTCTGTGGTCACAAGTATGCAATCTACCAGCCCTTCTTTCCCATACCCTATACTAATCTTCTCCGTTACACAGGGAATCGACGAACAACTAAACGGCAAAGACCTGGTGTCTATCTTTTTTTGGGGAATTCTCAATTGTACATCTATGAGTCATGAAAGCAACTATTTACCGGCATTGTAGACTTTTTGTTCGCATAATTCATCAAGCAGACACGGCAGCAGGGGCACCAGAGTCCGGCACCAGCGCATACTCCATCTCTCCGTTTTTCTCAAACTCGGCCATATCAAGAGCCACGATAATGCTGTCCCGGACAACCTGCTCGGGGTCGTTCAGGAACTTCTTCAGGGTATCCTCGACACCATCAACGTCACCCAAGCTACCGAGGGCCTCGGCAGCTTCGTGGCGCACCATACCTTCTTCTTCTTGGTTGCTCAGACACTCGGTGAGACTAGGGACGGAGGCGGGGTGGCAAAGTTGACCGAAAACGAATGCGACCTCGTGGCGGAACAGCGCAGAGGGGTCCTTGAGACCCTTGGCGAGCGCATCGACGGCCTGAACGGCGGTGGGCAGATCAGGAGGCGAGGCGAGGTCGCGCAGGGCAAACATGGCACGGTATCTTTGAAAGAGAGGGAGCTTGGTGTCCAACAATGTCTTCTCCAACTCGGGAATAGAGGGTTCTGCGGCGTCAAGGGGCATTGGCGGGGCGGGGTCGATGGAGGTGAAGTCACTATCATATAGAAGCACTTGATTAGCATGCAATCCGAATGACTTGGCTGCGACAAAAAAAAAAAAAAAAAAAGAAAAGTAAGGTCATACCTAGGCTTCAGCTTCTCAGCCTTCCTGGCTTCGGAGTTCTCCCAGACGATACGGTCCACGGCGATGTCGCAAGTCTCCCTAATGACCTCAGGCTCATTCGCATCATCCTTCAGCGCCTTCAGAATTTCCAGACTGTCCTCATAACCCAAAGCACCAAGGGCCTCAGCGGCCTCATGACGGCACATAACATCCTCCTCCTTATCCTTCAGAACCTGCTGAAGGAACGCGACAGCGTCAGGGTTACGAGTCTGACCAAGACAGTAGGCAAGCTCATGCTTCAACAAAGCCGACTTGGAGGAGAAAGCAGCAGCGATGGCTTCAATAGCCGGAAGGGTGTCCTCAGAGGGAGGCTGCAGGCAGGCCAGGTACTTGAGGGAAAAGAGGGCCCGGAAGCGGCGCGCGAGGGGCTCGGACTCGTTGACAATAACCTTGCGGAGGGTGAGGACAGTCTCACTCACCCCCTCCAGGTTGTTCTCGTTGACAGCAGACATGATAAGAAAAGGAAAAGAAAAAATTATTGATTAAGGAGTGTTTCTAGTTTGCACAATTTCACGAGATCCAGCGAGAAAAACGAGGGGCAAGAAGGGGAGAAGAGGAGGAGGACCTTTCAGGCATGAACGACGATAGGTAAATTTTCGATCTTATCACGTCCCGATAATAAATTTTAGGTGGGGGCGGCGGGGTTCCAAACCGCCGTGGCTGGGCGCCTTTTGCTTTGTAAATCTTGCTTGTGCCACACACTCTCTCTTACAGAGTTGTGCTCGGTCTCTTTTACCGGATCTGTTCCTGCCGGGATGGTGATCATCGAACGATATTTTTTGAGGCTTATCTTCTTTGAGAAAGTGGGAGTGTGAGGAAACATTTTAGTGTATATAGTCTAGTTGACAGTCATAAAGCATTGCCTTATGTAAATATTTATCGCACAATTCCGAGCAGACCGTTATTTTCATCCTCTTTTCTCCAGACCGCTGAAGCCTAATTCGAGTCATTGCGGAAAAGCCAAAAAAGAACGATCCACTTGCTGCGTGCCTGGATAGTAGGACTACTCATCTCCTACCCGGTGAACTTCCGTTCTTCCCTCGTGCCTTATCCGTATGAGATTTGGGTTGTGAGGCGTGTTGCTTCATGTACAAATTTAATAGTCATTTTTCCCTTCTTAAGATGCCACTTAGACTAGCACATCAAAACAACTCAGCTACTACTAATCATTATTCGTATCAGTTCATAGCATGATAGCGAATCATTCATATCATGGAGGGGCTGCGGCATATTGTTGAGATTCTTGTAGATAATAGTACTAGGAGTATGAAGTAGCATGCCTGCATATATAAAGACCAGGTCACACCTCCTTACTACTAGTGAAAGTTGAATACCAAAGCGACATTCATTCTACCAGTCCCTTGGCCCTTACTAGCTGTGCTAGTGTAAATGGAATTCCCAGAGTAAATTGCCAGGGACAGAAGGCACAGCATGTTAAAAGTATAGAGCCTCAACTTTCCGTATTGTAATGCCCTTGCCTCAATATAGGTCCAATGAAGACTGAGCATGGATATCGATATTTGCTATCAATACCTCTTGTCATACCTGGCACAAAGCGAGCTATTCTCTAAAATGCACTGGTAACTAGCGCAGGCGTTTTCTGAATGCTTTTCGAGATTCTCCAGAGTCGCTCGGCGCTAAATTGGTATAATGGTGCATACCGGGAGTAAAAAGGGGATTCACAAGGTTATGTCAATAGAAGTTTGCAATAGCGAAAAAAGTGTAACATTTAGGAAAGTTAATTTATCACCTAGCACAACCCAGAACTTAAACAAAGACCTGCACTTATGTACATGACACACGAGAAACCCAAATCATTTAGTCTTGATGTACTTGAGCTTCTTCGGTTCGTGGACGAAGTTGTTAGCGTAGGCCTTGGGGACGAAGCGACGCTCATTCGGCTCCTGAACGAAGTACTCGTATCCCTGCTTCTGGGCGAACAGAATGGCATCCTCCTTGCTCTTGAAGTTCAGGTGGGTACCCTGCATGCAATCAGCAGAGGATTGCCAGCCCATGAGGGGGTTCTCCCAGCGATGACCCCTCTGCAAGATATCCCAATCCATTCTCCAGTGGTGGCCGTGCCAGGTTCCGGACTGTGTTGCGGGCTTTGCTTGACGGTAGATCCTGTATATGATTGATCAGCGCGACTGATACGGGTGGGCGACAAATATCGTTTATGGAGCTTCATACCGGACAGTACGGGCCTGCAGGTCGGTGGGAGCGCCGGACAGAACAGCGGCAGCAACAGTGGCACCAGGCTCACTGCCATCCATGACGCGCTTGGGCACAGGGGAGAATTGACTGATTTCGATTGGTCAGTTTAGCCACTCCAATTGTAGCGCGAGGTGGGGTGTTTCGTACGAGGTGCCGTGATCAATGGTGGCATCGTAATCGGGCTGATGACGGGTCATAGCCTCAGAAGGGCTCTCCTTGCGGATCAAGGTGCTCTCGGTGTGAGGAACAGTCGGGGCATCAGAAGTGCTGGATGTGCGGGAAGGGTCGCCTCGACCGGTGCCTGTGGACACAAAACGTGCATTGACGGGGGCGGCGAGCCTGCCCGTGCGAAGGCAGGCGAATCTTCCTGCTCTGGCAAGCGACATGATGGCGAGGTTGTGCTTGGATGAGTGGAGAGAGCAAGGTGCTGCGGTAGAGCAATTGCAAGTTGAGGTATGCGGCGAGTGCCGGCCTTCAGACGAGTCCGAAAGCGGTTTAGCGCGACTCGAATGAGCCTCCCTGCGTCGAACCGCTCTTCCGACAACCCGCTTTCTCGTTGGCACTTCTTCCTTCTCTCCGTCATTATCCATTGTCCTAGTTCACCTGCTAGCGTCAAGGTAAGTTGGTTATTCCCTGAGTGACGCTCTGTATTTTGCGTCTCTCTTTTCATTGATCCGACAACTTTCTGACTTGGGGTCGCACAGATCCTACAAGATGAGCTACATCGCCCGCCGCGGTCTCTCGACCTTGATCCCTCCCAAGGTAAGAAATAACCGATACAACCACAAGAATATGTCTTAATTTAGTGCTAATTGACGTTTAGATCGCTTCCCCCAATGTGAGAACCCCTACCTTCATCATCCCCGACCCTGCCTAGACGTTACCGCCCGGAGCAATCTCTTTCGTGCTTTACCTCGGGAACTCAACAAAACGCGCGTTATACCTGTTGAACTCAACTAACTGTCAAAAAGGCGATCGGTGCTGCCAAGGATGCTGCCCGCATGGACCGTGTCGTGAACTTCTACGCCAGACTCCCCCGTGGTGCTGCCCCTGAAGTTAAGCCTACCGGCATCATCGGCCGCTACCAGGCTCGCTACTTCGGAAAGAACCCCTCCGCTGCTCGTGAGTATACTCTCTCAATCAAGTCTTACAGTGCGAAAGATGCTGATCATTTGCAACTCGATAGCCCTCGCCCACGCCATCGGTACCATCCTGATCCTGGGCTACAGCATGGAGTACTACTTCCACCTCCGTACGTTCCCTATATTCTTCTGGTATATTGAGCAGCAGGACTTACCATTCTACAGGCCACCACAAGAACCACCCCCACTAAGCAACTCGCTTTTTGGTTTCTGCGAGCGGGAGATCCTGTGTATATACCACACACTCTACAATGAAGACGATGTAGAAGAATCAAACTTGTACCACCTCTAAACCGTATTCTTTCGTCAACGAATTTTCTTCTATCAATCCTAAATATCCTGATTAAGCATTACTTTACAAGGGATTGCCGTAAATGTAGAATACTCATACCTCCACAGTTTTTGAGATCACATGACCGGCCAGACCGGACACACTAGGTGTATATCAACACATTATAGTATTGTGCCAAAGGACTCCTTTGTCACAATTTCAGTAATACTATCTGGCACGAACCATGTCCGGAGCTATGTCCGATAAAACATGGAACAAGAGCAACTTGATGATGGTCGTACTGAATACTTTGACTGATATATAGTTATATTATCTCTGACAATGGCAGTTATCATGACAATTTTTGGATCTGGAACCGCATGGTTTGGGAACAGAACAAGTTAAGACGATTGACACCACGACGATGATTTGTTTTATTTTGTAAGTTCGACACAGATACTAGTGTATTCACTTGCTGGAAGTTGAAATTCTCAACGCCACGAAGTATGACATTGGTGAGTGAGAGGAGAAGGTACATGGCTTTAAATGCTACTACAATTGGTATTACAAGTAGCACTCGTAGATTGACAGAGGTCACTTCTAGAAACACGACTTGGCAGTAAGGCACCATCTCTGCTTCTGCACAAAGAATCTTTTTCAGACTGATCTGATTTTCTGAGCTCAGCATCCGCACGAAGTGTAATCGCAAGCCAAATAGGTCCAAGATATTTTCATATGTGATAACTCCAACGTATCCCAAGGACCGAACATATGCATAGTCATGAAAGATGGGGGCTGGCTGCTATGCTTACTGTCAGTCAAGTACCTGACGTAGTCAGCATGGTACTGAGGAACTATCAGGCAGATTTCGTGTCGATCCTGCGTGACAAGAAAGTGCCTATGTCTCCGGTCAGCATCTGGTGTAGTTTTAGAGACGGGTTTAAAGGTTACTGAGGGATGAAGGGCGTCATACCTCATATCTATTGGGTTTGGCAGCTTCTCACAATCATTCTTTATCTACGCTACCATTTGAGCGCTCTCTTGCATTTGGAAAGGAACAGATTTCATGGATCATCTGACAGGCTTCACTTCGATAATGGCCTGGGCTTCTCCGCGACGGTCATCCAGATATCCGTCAGTTCTTGCCTCAAAACTGGCATTATAAAACTTAGCTTTGAAAGCCTTTCTGTGCAAAGTCCAGTTGTTGGCGAGCTTGAAGGGCATGGTCAGCGCATTCAAGAAGATAAATAAAGCACAATTCACTATCTGCTCATCCATAGTTGGAGGGTATAACACATTGTCCGGTTTTTGGGACTCGGGTGTCCTGGAAGGGGCTCGGAGTCTCTGGGATCTCTGAGATTGGTGTTTCTAGAACCAGCGTTTCCGAATCATCAAGCGGATCGTGGATACGAAGTTCCTCAATGTTCAATACTGTGGAGGTGTTAGTTGATTTTGAAGGTGTTTCCAAGTAGTCTTTGGCAAGCTCTCGATTCAGTAAACGGGAGCGTGTCCGGTGTGCAATAGGAGTTGCAAGTGACAGTTAGTCAGTATCATCCTTGGTGTTTGTAACCTCAAGCTGGTAGTGTCGGGCAATTGAAAAGTTTCCTTCTCCAGCATCTGGGCGCGTGAAGCTCTGACAGTATGTATCCTATGATTTGTAACCTTTTAGCATCTTCTCCGCCTTAGCAATCCATCTATTGAAGCCAGGCAGCATTTTTGGCAGATCTGTTGCGTGGTGCCCTACCCACAGCACACGAAGCAGAAGAAACTGCTTGTATTCAATCCTCGAGGCTGAGGCTAGCTCTGCACCGTGTACAGTCTTGCCTGTGAGTTCCATTTCATCTATGGCATCCTCCCATTCTTGCGCATTTTTAGGTAGTTTGCGTGGTAGGTCGGGCATCGTGATATGCTTTCATGAATGTAGACAATGAGGGCCCTGAGCGAGTATGAATAAAGACTATATAACCTTGGAGGAAATAGACAAGGTATAATTCGCATAGAATGGACTCGATAGGGGAGGGGCTTGCGGTAAATATGTTCGTTCTTGTTATGCCCTTCTATTTCAGATTTAGGAATGACAATCTGGCACTGCTTCCAATGTTCTTTTCAAGTCACTGAGAAGCACAGGCATTAAGATAGCCAATGAGGGATTCTTAGCATGACTCTAATGCGCGTATGCTGGCTGCGAGTTCTTCTCGCTGGTCGACGCTATTGGGGCTCGATGACAGTGAGCATTGACAATATGAGTTTGTAGGTAAGAAAGACAAGCAGGACAAACCGATCACCCAGTGCTTGGTTTGAAACAATAAGGGTAAAAGTAGCAATGCAAGAGACGTTCCATCTTCTTGCGGCATCAGCTGGTATCAAACAAGTACTGCTAGCTAGTAGTCGAATTGAATGGCGGACATGGCCAATAGAGTGAAATAAGACGGACATCCGTCAATGAAGTCACATTCATCAAGTAAATAGTTAGCATTGAAGGCACAGAAGTAGATTGAATTGGATATATGAAGCTTGATGGAACAGCACTGACTGCGTATCGAATGATGTGCAAGTGAGTTACTACTAGTAGTAGATGCTGTGAATCTGAGAGCGCTGATTGGTGGTTACTTAGCAACCAATGTTGCTGTATCCAAAGGGGAAACACCTTCATTGCGACGTCCATGGAGACGAGGAACAACATAAGAGAGCACAGAATCCCCCTTTTCATCACTCATCCACACATCGTTTTCTATGTAGATCAACTACTCGGCCTCACCAATCAAAAAACCCTTTTGATTCTCCTCCACTATGACACGCGTTGCAGAATCTCCGGCACGTCGCCAGGTGCGGGTGGCATTGAGGGACTTGGCGCTGAATATCAAGAGCCTAGCAGTTGATGAGTTCGACCTGCAGCAACTAGAGAACCTCAGTATCAATGTCGATTCTATGGTGCTAGACGACATGTCATCAGAAAAGCCGATCTATTTTGCGCCCTATTCAGACCACTCCTTTCCAGAGCCCAATGACGATGACCTTCATGGATCCTATAACGGCGTAGATGATGAAACAGACCCTGCTTTCACCCGTCCCTATGATCGCGCATACGTGATGGACATGCACCTTGACTCCTACATCAGCTACTACAACCTAAAAGCCAAGCGTGAAGGGTATAGAAGCCCTTGGGTCCCAAAATGGTAAGAATTCCACTCCCGGATTGAGGATACTCACTAACGTATACTATATAGCATCGGGGACTCAGCATTTGGGAACATAGGCCTGTACCGGGATGAGCAGCCGGAGTTCGGATGCTTCAGTACCGCGGAGCCGAAAGACCCTGCCTGTCCACATGTCAAAGCGATCATTTACAATAACATGGTCGCCACGGATTCCACAATTCTCTTTGGCGAGTTGATGCCAATTCTTCGAATCATGTTGAAGCAGTATTGGAGAGCAAAGTACATACATTCAGTGGTCTCACCGGTAAATACTACGTCATCTACTTAGTGACCAGCAGGTACTGACTCATACTCCAGGTCTTGGTGTTCTCGCTGATGGGTGTACACGCTCGAGTGATTGAAGCCATTTTCCAGGGTCAAGAGCTGATTATACGCCCCACCAAATTGTATGATTTCAGCCACGTAAATCCCAGTGCCTTCAAAACATTTACCCAGTGGTATATGGGTAAACCTATCGGGGATACTACGAAGGCTTCCTGATACCTTTGCTGGTTTCGCACCAGCTTGTCATCAGCTACATATCAACTGCGTGCTTATGGTTGTCAATCACGTTGCTCTCTGATCCTTTTTCATCGTTCAAGCAGGGAGTCATGGTATGTGGGAGATGTATGTCACACGTGGAGGAGTTGCAAGGCGTATGTTTGCTTATGAATTACATGACTAAAGTGAGATGGGTCTGTTTCTTTATCGTGGTGACGTTTCTTAGCAGCCGCTTCTGCAATAGTATTTCTGGGATGTAAGTACCATGACCCTATTTCCGAATAAAATAGCGCATGAAACGAACTCCTTTCCATAGCTGGGATGGTGTCTATCCCAAACATTGATCAATCAAAAGGCTCTAAGCCCCCGTACATCCAAACAACACAATGTAGATAATACTATACTTCCAGTAAGATACAGATCGCTCCCCATCCAGCCAAGAAAACAGCCAGGGACAGGGTTCAGTGCTACAGTCTTCTTGACAGTGAGAGAAACTACTGTAACATCGCTGCAGTGTCATACACCCTTCGATGCCAAAGACCTCATAGATTTGTGGCTGTGTAAGACGGACTGCAGCACTGCACCTCTCACAACTCCCAGACAACGAATGCCTCACTTTTTGGTGGCTTAGCAGTGATGAGCGTGCTAAGATGCGCTTTACTAATTCTTAATAAGGAGCGTCAGAACTTCATGCGTACGGAGAAGTAAACTCTGTCGTGGAAAGATCGCAAAGATGATACCTAAAAGGGTTGGTGAACTGAGTTAGTGGTTTGTATGGTTGGTATGACTTGGGATAAGTAGTTAGTAAGTAATACTAGGTAAGGCAGGGGGATGCAGTTCTCGAATGGTCTGTAGGAGATTAGTAAATGATCATGATGATTGGGCTGTCGGGGGAAGGGGGTGGTATATGCAGTGGGAAGTGTGGAATCAATCTTCTCTCTTTTTTTTCTTTTTCTTTTTTCTTCTCATTTTATTTTATTCTATTTTATGTAATTTAGTTCGTTTTTCACCCCCCCAAACGGATTTTAGTGAGTGACAGCATACGAACGACGGGGCGCAGCGGGCAACTGTTATGAAACTCATTGCCTGCATAAGTAACGGGCCATCCACTCGATGTTAGAGTTTAAGGCCAGGGCAAAGAATGCATCGGACCATGGTCCTTTAAGGGATATGTCCGTCAAGTCAAGCAACGGAGGTAACTGTGTTTCCCTCCGATATGTCCTCTGTCGGCATCTTACGTGAGATGAGCGAGACGGTCGGTGGCACTCAATAGCTACCCAAGCAGTCGATCAAGTGTTGGGTATCCTTCCAGAGTGTACGAGAAAGAGCCTCCATTATGACGATAGTAGGATAGTGAGTAGGGGGGGAAACGATGGTGTGACTTAGTTGCCTCTTCAGTCTAGACACCTGACTCATGGTAGGTACCGTGAACTTTGCGGAAGTCGAATGCCGATTCATGCATTGCAATAGACTTGATTCGTTTAACCACTAGTAGCTTTCGAGTGGCAAATTCTAGACTCTACATATCTTTAAAGGTACGTAGCCTTGAACAGATGGTGATTGGGCGATAGCCAGGTACGCTCTCCGGAGCACATGTTGGAGGACAAGCTGCTACCTCTACATTACCAGTAGCTTGGAGCTCAATTCTTGAACAAACCGTTTCTTGTAGTGCCTCGGTTGTCAAGAAATCGCAAAGCGATGAGCTTTCTGGGTACAGCCACCATGAGATACCGGGGCAATGCACACAACTGGCATCGCTCCTACGTCAAATTGGGCTTGACGGACCGATGCAGATGCCTCTGAAACTGCAGAAGGGCGGTGTTTGGGAAAGTAGTGTGTGACGTTACTTAATCCCTTACTAACTACTAAGCCACGGAAAAAAGGGCACTGCTCCTTTGCTGTTGTCTCGAGTCTTACTACGGAAATTGCTGTACATCGGCTTAACTCGGGGCAGGAAAAGAGGCCCTTCAACATCTGTCCAGTCAGGACTTCACACCAGAATGAGGCAAGTCAAATAATTCACGCAGTTTTGGTGCGCTCTGGATTTCTGCCATCGAACCTTGTGGCTATTGTCTGAAATTGTTCAAGTGCCATTCAGAGCGGACACCGTGCTAGCCTTGTGGGAGAAGAAGCGGGGTAAGCAGTGGATGGAGGGTAGCAGGGAGTTTAGTGACTTTCCCCTGGCTGGGGGGCATCGACAGATTCGTGCTTCAATCGTGGCGCAGCATTTTGAATTTGCTTGAACAGACCCCGTTAGACCCTACCTTTCAATTTAATCTGGCCATTCACTCACTTCTCGTTAGCCACACTTAATCTGGCCCATCTAATCCATAATTCGCTATCCACCAAGGTTGTGGTCTGGGACTCGGCGCTCTCCGAGATTATTCATCCAGTGAATATATCCATATCAGAGCCGTTGTCGCCTCACTTTGCAAATCGATCATCTTGTCTTGTCGTTGGGCACGGTGGATGATTTGGGTATTCTAGACCACGACCCTCGCTTGGAGTCGGCAGACTGCGTAAGGCTACCCTTTCCAGTCTAGTCGGAATATTGTTCCTGTTGGTAGACGGCTTGAAGGATATGTTTTCGGACATAGTGTTCTGAACTAGAATCCACATTTGCTATTGATTGATGATAGCAAGCATGGATGTGCGAGATCTCTTGGGTCACTACCGTAACAGCTTGCGTAGCAGTATGAATCTCCTCAGCCATGTTGAACTTGCTAGCGGCGATCCTTCCAGAAGTAAGAGTAGTAGTACTCCGTAGATAAGTAGGGGCTGATTAGAGACCGACGAATGGCAGTGCAGTGTGAGTCGAGGTCGGCATCAGTAACATCCATCGTAGTTGCAAAAGTGTGAGAAATCTCGACTGAGCTCGACATTCGCAAATGGAAGTTCCCTCTATCCAGTAAATTGCGTTTACTCACGATTCTTCAGTCTAAAATTCTAGGCAGCAATCTCCTCCATGATCGCTTGGGGACTGCCGGTTGTCGATGACGTTCCGGCCAGCCAGAGTGCCTGGGGGTGATGGCTGGCGAGGCTGCCAGACAATCACACGCAAATATCGCCCAGACTAGTACCGCGCAGACGTCACCAAAACATTAGAGACCTCAGAGGTAATAATATCTGCTCTGCTAAACTGGCATTGGTCAATACGGGGGGTGCCCATTTGCCTTGGTATTGATGGATGACTCCCTCCAACTCTATATAAGAGCGGAAATATCACCCCCCCCTCCTCCCCCCAGCTACTCTT